ACAGATAGATAGATAGATAGATAGATAGATAGATAGATAGATAGATAGATAGATAGATAGATAGATAGATAGATAGATAGATAGATAGATAGAACTACAGAATGATAGAACTATAAAAGAAAGAAAGAAAGAAAGAAAGATAGATAGATAGATAGATAGATAGATAGATAGATAGATAGATAGATAGATAGATAGATAGATAGATAGATAGATATAACTACAGAATGATAGAACTATAGATAGAATGACAGACAGACAGACAGACAGACAGACAGACAGACAGACAGATAGACAGATAGATAGATAGATAGATAGATAGATAGATAGATAGATAGATAGATAGATAGATAGATAGATAGATAGATAGAATGATAGAACTATAGATACAGTATAATGACAGACAGACAGACCGACAAACAGAATGATAGAACTAATTAATAAAATAAAATAAAAAATAGTTGAGGGGATACAGTGGCAAATGGCAAGAGAAAAGTCTATAAAAAGTCTAAACCAAATGAAAAAAGTCAACATGGCACACACAACAAACAATACAGCCCCATAAAAGATAAAAAAATAAAAAATTTGCTGAGCCAAAATATATGAAAAATGCGAGAAAAAACAAACAAATAAACAAATTAATACAAAAATTTAAATAATACAGAATAAAATAAAATAGAATAAAATAAAATAAAATCGTTCATTGCATTTATATTGGGCTTTTCTAAGCACTCAAAGCGCTTTGCATTCTGGGGGTGGGGGGGATATAAAATGGTTGAAAGGATATGGTAGCAAAATAATTTAAGCCTGTCTTTTACATCTGAGGGCTCTGCCGAAAAAGAAAGGTATGAAAAAAAAGATATAAAAACAAACAAAACGAAACTGAAAAAAAAAAAAATTATATAATAAGTAAAATAAATAAACAAATACATAAAATAAAATAATGGTTGATAGGATATGGCAGCAAATAATTATTTCACTTCTGGTGGCTCTGCCAAAAAAAGTAAAATAAATAAATAAATAAATAGATAAATACTAACAGACAGAAAAAAAAATTAATTCTGAGGGTTCTGCCTTTTCGAGTCCTCGGCGCAGCACTGATATCATTCTGTCTCCTACATATACTTATATCAAGAGCCTCACCAGGGAAACTCTGACACTCGAAGTTCACTCCTGCTGCTGCTTATAAAGCTGTTGATCCATGATATCCCACAACAGCTCAAATATTGATATGCTTTGGATGACAAAACAAATCTCTAGATGAAAGCCAGTCGGCATGAGGTTACAAAAAATAGTCTTCTTTCACAGATGTGATACACTGAGTTTCTTCAGACTGACTAGAGTGTGTAAAAACACCACACAACACCAGGGATGACTGCACAACAGTTGTATTTGCAGAATATATGAAAGTCAACATGGTGTGCTTGGGTTATTTGGAAAAGAGTATCAAATTTAGGGAGAAAAACAGATGGTTTCCATCTTACCCGAATAGCTTCCTAGTCTTGGAGCGTTGCTGTCGACACCATCGTAAAAGTCTAGTGAGTCCCAATTGTGTTCGGTGGAAAAAGTCACAACTGTAATCTACAGAAAAAAATACACAAAAATATTATAAAATACATAAAATACTGAATATTTTTATTTCGTTTTGAGTGAAATATGTCATATTTAAAAGTGAATTTTAATAATAAATAAATAAATATTGTATAAATCTAAATAAAAATGAGCCATGGTCTGATAAGTATATAAATAAGTACAAATAAGTATATAATCATGCAATACTTAAATAGGCTTATAAATCTTTAAAATGGGGAGAAAACACCTCTCATCTCTTTTGTTGTTGACGTCAAAGGCTGTATATTCAATCAAATGGTGAAATCTGTTACTTGGTATTATGACTAATGCTAAATCAACATTTGGTCCAGGGTTTGTTCCATGTGTTTGGATGATGAATCACATTTATGCTGTTGTTTTTGTATTTACACAATTTTCCAGTTTATATCATGTTAATAATTGTGCATATTGTTCGCCTAAGCAGTATAATGATAAACAATCCTGGTACTTTGTTTGATGTCCAATGTAAAGCAAAACTAACTGAGAACCACCGCTGTACATTAGATATCAGCCATTAAAAACCCATATTGGTTAACCATTACTATATCAATAACTTGTTTCCCTGTATAACATATTGCATCACTATAAAATGCAGTATTACCTGCTCAAAACTTCAAAGTTGTAAAGACTAGAAAAAATGTAATAGCCTATTCTACAATAAAGCAAAGCAGATAATAATTGGATTCCCTTGATGATATTTTTATCCTCTGGCAAGCATTAAGTAATCAAACACACTTCTACTAATCATAATCCACAAATTTTTTTCAGATGACACTACAAAAAAAAAAAAGTTTTGTCTCACTTGGATTCCAGTTCCCTCCGGCACAAAGACCTTCCAAACACAGTTCCGATGGTTGTCATAGGGATCGGGGTAACCCGGAGACAGAATGGTCCCGCGGCGCGTGGTCAGAACTCCTCCGCACGGAACTGAAAGACAGATTTCAGAAAAAAAGACTAAACATGGCACAGAGGCACAACAAACAAAACCAAGTAAACAAGGCCTTTCTGAGCCAAACGATACGGAAAGATAAATATATAATAAAATAAATAACTACAAAAATAAAAACAGATTACAAAGTATTGTGTGATTATGTAAAGAATTATAAAATAAAATAAATAACGAATAGTATTTAATAAATAAAATAAAATAATAGCATTTTAAGAGCACCTTAAGAGATATAAAGTATAGTCACACTCTAAAAAAAATCCGGGGTTATTTTTTTAACCCAAATGTTGGGTTGAGCCTCTTGGGTCATTTTTTTGGATTATTTTTTCAGTGTTTGGGTAGTTTTTGACCCTGTCCTGGGTCAGACATAACAACCCAATGTTTGGGTTGTTTTTGTGTTACTCAGATCCTGGGTCAGACGTAACCCAGCGGTTGAGCTATTTATCGCAGGGATTTTGCGTCTTCTCTTCACGTGAGAGCAGTTCTAAGCGCCATCGAATTGATGCATTCTTCGGTAAAATACAGGTTTGTGTACATTTTATTTTATCTATAAAATCGTTACTGTGCTGTATATCGTTCAATTTTATGCAGAGCAACATACAGGCGCGCGGCGTGAAACACCTTTAACGAATGCCGCTGTCTTTTTGCGTGATGGAAAAGCCTGATGCTTAGCATAAAATAAACGATTTAATTCATTAAGAGACAGAATATAATTCAGAGCTGTTTATTGTATTGGCAGGTTATGGAGTCACAGCACGTTTCGGCTAGAGTGAAACGCAGGGCGGTGGTCCGTTAGCAGTTCCCTGCCGAACATGACTCCAGCTCGGGCACGAGAACCAGCGCCGCTACGGTGGAAACAGAATAACAGAGACTGGTCGATTACACGTGAGTTACTTCTGTTTAATGTTGCATTTTTCTTCTAATGTTTGTTAAACGAGTTTAAATATAGGCAATATGTATAGCCTATTAAAAACGATATAAACAATGCTGTAAATGTTAAAGGGGCCATATGACGAGGTTTCCGCCCAAATGTTCACGCAAAGAAAGTGTAACTTTTATTCTCGCTGTAGTTTTGTTGTTTCCGCCGCCATGTCGTAAAGACGCTGTGTGCTTCGTTGTGAAAGCGAAACTACTTTGTTTGGTCTTCCAAACGAGGACGATATCTGCTTCGTCATGCCTGGAGCTGATCCGTGCTGGTCGCTGAGGAAATACTACAACTTTGCACTGTCGATCGCCGGATCGGCTTTCACCGTGGACGAAGCGGAGTCCAGCCCGGAGTCGTCACATGTCCTTCTGGACGCTCCTTCGTCGAAATCGCCGGCCGCGCCGTTCTCAAGCCCACCCGCCTCTGCTCACTCTAACCCTCCGGCCGTTCCTCACTCTAGCCCCAGGCCTCTGCTCACTGTAGGCCGCTGCCGCTTACTCTAGGCCGCGGTGTGTGATGCCGTTTCATTGTGAAAACGAAACTACTTTGTTTGGCCTTCCAAAAATGGACACGACTAGAAATCAGTGGTTAAGCTGTATTTACAACACTGTTCCAGAACACTTCAACCCAAATATTCAGATGTGTGCAGCACATTTTATAGAGGACTGTTTCCTGATCCTGGAAGAGTAGTCTACAATGCCGGCTGTTCTGACTCACAGACTGTAAGTACGTCTTTTATATTTAAATTGTTTTTATATTTTATATACTTAAAGCAAGTTTTTTGGGCAGAGTAGAGTAGTGCTTGTTGTTTGTCATTTCTCCGATCACAAATGCAGACATGGTTTTATGTTTACGTGGCGCGGCGCGATGCAATGCAACGCCTAAGTCATTATAATCCATAATTATGTCCCCAGTGGATGCAACGAATGCCTTGTTTATAATGGGTGTTAATGTTTTTGAATCATGGCTCCGGCCTGACAGGGCATCATCACAATATGGCAAGGGGCATAACATTTCCGTCTCACACTTGAGGTATTCAGCCAATCACAATGCACTGGATATCTGGCCAATCACAGCACACCTCGCTTTTTCAGAACGATGAGCTTTGTAAAAATCGACGCGTTTCAGAAAGGCGGGGCATAAAGGAGAAACAATAATGTACAGTATGTGGAAAATAATGTGTTTTTTTTAACCTTAAACCGCATAAACACATTTCATTACACCAAATACACAAAATACTGTTCTTTTTAGCAGCATCACATGACTCCTTTAAATAAAGGAAAATAAAGGAAGTTATCATACAAACCAGTGGTTGTGTGAAGTATTTTAGAAAAGTTTAGAGGATTTAAGTTAATCGGTAAACATTATTTAATGTATGAAGTAAAAAATAAGATAGCAATATAGTAAAAATGAATAAACCCAATTTGCTGGGTAAATTTAACCCAAGATGGGTTCTGTCCTATATTTACCCAGCCCTTGGGTTAAACTTAACCCAGTGTTTTTTAGAGTGCAGATATAAATTTGACATGAATTCAACATGAAACATTTTCACAATCCATTTGAATGTTTTATCAGCACTAGAGAAATAAATCAAGTAAAGCCCTCTGACAAAAATTATGTAACAAATAAAATAAAGAAATCTAATAATATTAATAATAATAATGGTGAGTGACAAGCCAAAATGCTGTAAAATAGCCATTTAAAAACCTTTTTTGATGCTGACTTTAAAGATGCGTAAAACATTGATGGGATATCTGAACAACAACGACCACCACAACCAAAAGAATGCATTCTTTTTGTTGCACAACTACATTATTGATTACCTTGCAGCTACTGTATAATATGTTCTATTCTAAAACGAGTTGCATTCAAAAGCACTATGTGAGAACGGACAGCTTTTAATGATGCTCTTGCTGAAGCAACCAGCCAACAATCAACTGGGTCGGTCCATCTTTACCTAACTCCAGCGGGATGTCATTACCAGGTGCAGATTTGAAGTATCACGCATTTATGTTAATACATGTCGCGGCATCTGCTTTAATCTAGCATGGACATAACGGACTAGGTATGCATTAACAAAAAGGCACCTTATTTTGCATGCATTACGTCCCGGGAATTCGAACAACTGCTTCCAGATCCAGTGTCCCGTACGGAGTGGGCATGGCCACAAACTCTAAGACCTTCATCTTTTATATAGGCTTCATCCTGCTCTGCTTAAAACGCATCATGCATTCATCATTTTCAATTATTCAACCTCGCACTCCTTCTATTTGAAGTTTCCTCTCATATTTCAGCCCACTGAAGGGAATCCTTTGAGCAGCAAGAAACTCTTATCTTCTGAAGAGTTATTGAGCTTAAGTGCAAGCATAATGATATTTTTGGTCACAGCCAGTCGACGACAGACACTTATTCAATCTATGTAAAACCGGACACTTGAGCAGATAAACAAAACTGGTTATTAGACGGCATTTCAGGGTATATAATAAAAAAATAAATAATGGTTCACTCAAAAACTAAATTTGCCAATTTTTTTAACCCATATGACTTTCATCTGCTGAGCACAAGAGGAATATCATGGGGGATGTTTTTTAAAGTTATGGAGGATAACAAAAAGCATCATTAAAATAACATTAAAGTAGTCTATATGAATCTATACTATATTCCAAGTCATGCAATACCTTTCCCATGCCTGAAATTAAATTACAATTTAATGAAAATGCAATGGACTTAACCATTGTGACCGGATTGTTGAGTTAGTAAGTAAATTATAGAGCTGAATCAGCTAAATTTGTGATTGAATCATTCAGACTGCTCTTGTGAACTGAATCAAAGAATCAAACTCAAAAGAATGATTCAATCACAAATCAGACATCACTACTTTTTTCACAAACTGTGATGAATGCTTCCATTGAGTGGATGTCAATATTTTTTTTTATTGAAAGCCACTTGAGTTATAGATATAAATATTAATACATAGTAATAGATATAAATCTATCATATGGCATCATAAGACTTGACATTTAGCACAACAGTCATATGGACTGATTTTAAAATACTCTAATGGCGTTTTTTTTTTTTACATTTTGCCCTATTATATTTGTATCATAACATGAAAAATAGTGTCCAACATAACGGTAAAAAAGGCAACTTTTCTGTTCAGCAGAATAAAAGAAAGTCATACAGGTTTGGAATGATGATATTCATTTTTGGGTGAACTATTCACTTACATAAACCATCAAGACATTTTACGCTGGGCTCTGTTGGATTATACACTCTAAAAAATGCTGGGTTGTTTCAACCCAACTTTGGGTCAAATATAGACTAACCCAACTTTTGGGTTAAAAATGTAATTACATTTTTTTCCTAACAGCTGGGTTAGTCCATATTTGACCCAAAGTTGGGTTGAAACAACCCAGCATTTTTTAGAGTGTAAGTGAATGAAAAAGTGCAAAACAATTCTGTAATCAGTATTTTTTTGTTGTTTTTCTGTGAAAACATTTAAACATCAAAACTTCTTTGAGAAGCTGCATTGCAAAAGATTATAATGTTTTCTTTCCACACTGGCAAATTGTTTTATCTGTTTTAGGCACAAGCATATTTAGTCAAATCTATGCTTAAAACGACAACAAAATCTGGAAACAGGGTAAGAAAGATATATTTAATTTAAGATATATTCACTGAAAACTACTTACTGATTTATCTTAATTTAAAGATGCTATATGTTTGCCGGAAACATGACAAAATACTGATTAAGAAAGTGATTTATTGCACTAGATGCATTTATGCCTTCTTGAGAACTTGCAAAGCATAACCTTTTCATCATTAGTCAGTGACAAAGATCCCAAGGACTCGTAACGTATGTTAAATTACCGCTGATGTATGCTCACAATTACCGCATTGTGCTTTCTAATTGACCAGAAACACGTCATTTTAAATGACTTCAATTTTCCATTTTCATTAGCGCTTTTAAAACATTCAAAGCACACAAGCGTCAGCTAAGAACAAAAGCTGGGGGGAAAAAAACCAAAACACTAACTGGAATAAATTGAAAGGACG